TATATATATATATATATATATATATATATATATATATATATATATGAATACTATAATAATAATAATAATAATTTAATGAAGAAACATGCAGCCAACATAAGAGGTGTATTGGACAAATCTACACTCTCATATAATAACTTGTAAATTATACGAGAGACGTAAACCACACTAGGCTAACTATATGTGTCACAAACCCGACTTAGCGACCGTTGTCCATTGGCAAGAGGATTCGAACTTGGAAAAAAATTATACTTATGCTTGAGTTAGAAATGTAAAGAGACATTTTTATATCGACACTACTAAGGTGGTGTTTGCAAACGATTTTAGAAATAGATTCTGAGCTTTTTTTTCTCGATAATCTGTTTAGGTGTCTGCAAAACAAATTTTTACTTATGTTTTTTTTAAATAAATTGTTTTAAGCTATAGTTGTAAAAGTCCTCATGTCCCTGTTTTTTCCATTTTAGTTGATATTCCAGCTAATTTGCAAACACACCCAACTTTTAGAAATAAGTAATTAATTCCAAATTAATTCACATTAAGTAACATCTACTTTTAAATAAACTTTCGCAAACACTACCTAAATACTTCTAACTCACTTTTTTTTTTGTTTTTATTTTATTTATAAGACTGGGAGGATCGTAGTCATGAATTTTACCAAGTGCAGTTTACAAATAAGCCCATCAATGTGTACTTATTCATAAAGAGGTCCAGACAATAAACTCTTTTACAAAAAAGTCCACACATGGTCCAGAGGTTTGTAAAAGACTAAAATAGCCCCTCATATTTTAATATGCTCAAATTTCATCATTTAATTTCATATAACCTCAATTTGACCCCAAATTTTACAAACTATTCAATTTTGACCCAAAACACAATTTGTGGATAATTTCCCCCGTCACCGCCGTTGACTTTTTTTTTATTCTTCATTATTATCATCATCATCATCATCATCATCATCATCATCATCATCATCATCATCATCATCATCATCATCATCATAAAAGAAAGAAACGTTGGATAATCCTAAAAAACCCTAATGGTTTTTTATTTATAATATTTTTTCTCTACTAATTTCTAAATACAATTTTTAACAATTATCAAAACTGAAACTAAACCATGAAGAATCATACCCTAATGGTACTTCTGTAATTATTTATCTGTAATATTTTTTCTCAACTAATTTTCAACAATTATCAGTTTCCTATTTTTCATCAATATATCTCAAATCTTAAGGATAAAGATAGAAATTCGATTTTTTAAATCTTAATAATCTATATATTTGGATTACAAATCTTAATATGTAAGATTTAAAAAAGGGGAAAGTACAGTTTGGACCCCTGAACTATGTGGTTTGTCTCAAATACCCCTTGAACTACAAAACGTAACAAAACGCCCCCTGTTTTTTTAGGTCAACTTCAGCATCTAACACCGGAATTTACTTATTTGCCCTTAAATGTATTTACAAAATTGATTGACATGCCAAATACAGGTTCACGAACCGCATGTAGACGGAGATCGGCGATTCCGCCACATGATACACAAATGGAAGCGGCAGAAGTGGCTGAAAGGCTTGTTGAGGCCCCCTTTGAGTACCGCCGTTTGGGGACGAGGTATAAGCTGGAGTGGACAACAGATAATCTGGGTGGGGGCAAATCGTCTGGAAGCGAGAGGTGGCTGTTAGAGAATATTATATTATAGAACTCTTGTAATATTAGGATTCTAGTATGATTGAGTTACCTAGATTAGTTAGGATTTAGTTACCTAGTCAAACTCTATTACCTTGCAATATTTCTCTATATATATTCCATGTAATCAACTCATAACATAATCGGGGTTTCTATCTATCACGTATTATTATTTCTCTCTCTTTCTCCTATTCTATTCTTCCTATATGGTATCAGAGCTCCAGGTTTATGTTTTTTAACCTAGCCGCCTTTCTTCTCCATGGCGGTGACCACCCAATTTTCTCCCTCCCCCGGTGGTGTATCTATCTTCTCTATCTTCTTCTTCTTCTTCTTCTTCTTCTTCTTCTTCTTCTTCTTCTTCTTCTTCTTCTTCTTCTTCTTCTTCTTCTTCTTCTTCTTCTTCTTCTTCTTCTCCATGGCCTAAAACCTAGCCGCCGCTTCTCTTCTTCTCCATGGTCGGCGACACCAAACCGAATTTTCTCCTTCTCTCGGTGGTGTATCTTCTCTATCTTTTTCTTCTTCTATCTTTTCTGTTAACACCACCCGAATTTTCTCCCTCTCCCGGTGGTGTATTTTTCCGTTCTTCTTCTTCCTCTTTTCTTCTCCATGGTCTAAAACCTAACCGCCGCCTCTTCTCTTCTCCATGGTCGGCGAACACCACCCAATCTTCTTCCTCCCTCTCTCATCTCTTCTCTCTGTCTCGATTATTATTAAAAAAAATAAAAAATAAAAAATAAAAAAAAATTGCTTATTTTTCTCTCACCCGTTATTATTATTATTATTATTTTTATCAATTGGACAGATATTTCCACAGAAGAATTCTCTAGCGATGTGTTTAACGGTTTCTGTCCAGTCTTCACGTTTGAAGTTTCCAGTCTTCACGTTTGAAATTTATTCGTTCCGACTGCGGGAGCGTGTTAGCAAGGGATTGTCCAGTCTTCACGTTCGTCACGTTTCGACTGCGGGGGCGTGTTAGAGAATATTATATTATAGAACTCTCCTCCTATTCTATTCTTCCTATAGTGGCGGGTCTGCGTTTGGTTACAATCCTTGGCAGCAAGGGTTTTCGGCGCGGCGCCGCATATTTGTTGCTTGAATTTCGTATGTGATGGTTCTACTTTGAGAGGTTGAGTAAGAGGAACAAAAGAGAAAAGAGTGTATGGAATGGAAGAAAAGACGCTATGAATAATACAAATTAGGTTGAGATCTTGAAGCAATTGAGGCATCCAAATTTACTTTGCTTGTTGGGGGTTTACTTGGTCGAAGATGAAAAAGCTCTGTTTACGCTTTTTTTTTTTTTTTTTTTTTTTTTTTTTTTTTTTTTTAAGTTCATTTTGGCTTAATTTAGGGTATTTGTTGGTAATATGAGGTAATAATAATTTGTTTTTTAGTGTATTCGATGTCAAAACGACATTAGTAAAATTGAAACGACGTTTAACATTTCAGTATAAGTATATATATATATATATATATATATATATATATATATATATATATATATATCTAGCTATATATAATAAATTGAGGTTAAAAACGTCAAAAGATATTACAATATAAAAAAAGGATTAAACATAAAAAAAAAAAGTCAACTCGCCACGTCATTACAAACAAACGGATTGAAAATGGAGGGGACGTTTTGTTACGTTTTATAGTTCAAGGAGGTATTTCGGACAACCCACGTAGTTCAGGGGTGCAAACCGTACATTCCCTTAAAAAAACTAATGTTATATAAAATATAAATAATACTACATTATTAAATTTTACTATGTTGGTGTATTTTCTTATTATTTATTAAATTGATTAATTTTTCTTTTCCCTTTTGAAATAATATGCCGTGCATCGCACGAGAAAAAAATGCTACTTATTATTATTGTAAGTACAGCTCATCAAGATTAAATAATCTCCAAATATTTTCTTCAAGTTTTCACCAATTTTATTTATGATTGAGAAGAACATTGGGTATAGTTCTAAAAACACTATCTTCTTCAAAGCTTTCACGATGAAACGTTTACATGAAAGTTTATATTATTCATGTTTTGCCACTATAACATATTATTAATAAGTGTAGCAATAAAAAGTATGGGTTCCCTAGGGTCTAAGAAAACCGTACCTCTCCAATCATAAGAGAATTGTTTTTTAATTTTTTTGTGAAAATAATAATCAGGTTTTTTTTTTTTTTTAAATAAATTCAAGTCTATTATAAGGGGAAGTATGTGAGAGGGGACTCGGATCCTAGACCGTTTACCCTATTGGTAAGGCTATATACCAACTCTCCTAATAAGGGTTGGTTATAAGAGAATCGATTTGGACTGATGCATAAAAACTACTTGATCATCAATTCTGTATATTTATTTTAGGTGCAGGGCTAGTACAACCCTAATATTCCGTAAATTAATGGAGATATAATATATACAAAATAGATTTAATAAATAATAATATAAAATTCAAAATAAGATCGTCGTAATTAAATAATAGAATTTTGATTATTTCGCAAAATAGTAGATTTTATCAAAATAAATTGTAAATTTTAAAATGATCCCATGTCATTACACAACATACGCTGCAAACTAGAACATTAGTATTTTATTAAAAAGAAAAACCTCGTCGAACAAGCCTAAACGGTTTAATCGTCACCACTGCTAGGGGAGCCTTCTCCGTCACCACCAGTACCCCTAATCGTTCAAAAGATACTTCCTAATAATTTCAGCAAACGTAATATATATACTCATCGGGATCCACTTCTTCGTCGTAATCAACTATCACCGGCCCATCACCCATTATCACTATTGGCGCCTGAGATGGTGGTGGAACTGGTGGAGCTACTGGAGCAGCCGGCGGTTATTGGGCGGCACTGCGCATGGCCATCGGCAATTGAACCTGCACCGAGGCTGTGCGCTTGGGATCCTCGGCCCGATATTTATTGAGGAAAACTGTCAGGGGCTCCACGTAGTCATTGAACTCCAGTGAGGCCATGCCGGCGGTTACATCTTCCGGGTAGATTGGTGTTTTGTACTCGCGGTGGGCCGTCTCATTGGCCTCACTGGTTACAAAGAAAATGAACTTTGAGACACACTCTTGGATAGTCTTCTTCGCATCATCGGAAATTTTTGCATGGGGTGGGAGCACCCTACGTAACACTCGGACGATGTAGGTCATCGGCATATACAGATCTGCCTTGCGCCTGTAGTCTTGCGGTGGCGCTAGATTCTGATCGCCGACATTTATTGCGGGGAGATTGTGCCTGAAATGAATGAATTACATATTTTTATTTAACAACATATGAAGTAAATGCAACCCAATCTTATTTAACGACTTTCTTCTCTTAATCCCATTAATTCACCTCATGGATATATATATATATATATATATATATATATATATATATATATATATATATATATATATATATATATATATATATATATGTGTGAGAGAGACATGTATAAATAAAATCAATAAGATGCAACATAGTATTTAATTTTACTTAAAGAATTGTTTTAAGATTGACTTTTCCCAATTTTTCCATCCAAATCCTATTTTTCTGCATCATGAACGCCATTTTGATTTAAAATTTACTAAAAAAAAAACAGAAATTCTATTTTTTTTAACGTATCCACATCAGATATATCATGTAAAAAGGTAAAAATAAAAGGAAAAATAATAATTCAAGTATATAAAAGCAAAATCAAATAAAGTAAACTAACGTGTGTCGTGCGCCGACAAATCGTAATTTAATCAATAATATAACTTGACAAATATAAAAGTAATCAAAATAGAATCAGATACGAATGCCGACAAAAAAAATAATTTATGTTAATTCAAACAACAGTCTCTATATGAGGTATGTATAAGATTTGCAATCTTGAATCGTATTCATATAAGATAATAATAAAAAAAGCTGATCCAAAGAGTTAAATTAAGAGCATGAATGGTAGATTGCTAATACAAGAAAAAATCAAATTAACATTTTTCATATAGATTTTATCTAAATCGAAAATAAAAATGATAGCAAATTTATTTTGTGCAACTTTTACCAGATGCCGATGCCGATGCGGATGCTCTTGTGGTATCCTTATGTTGGTTATTTGAGTTTCCTCCAATCTCCATATTTATGGTTTCTTTCTAATTTTGTTTGTAATTTTTTTTCTTCACACTCAAATGGCACACATTAATTCACTATATGCCTCTTAGATTTTTGCTATGAAATGTGAAGTGAAAAGGCAATTGTGCATTCAATATATATAAATAAGTTTAGGGTTTGAAAATGAGTCCACAAGGGCAAATGAGGGCGGTGGAAATATGTCATTAGTGGTGAAGGTAGGAGCAAATATGGAAAAATAAATATTGCTTTTACTGTCCAAAACTAGTATATATAATCTAGTGTATATATATATATATATATAATGTTGTCGAATTAAAAAAACTGTATAATTGCTTGCTTTTAGGAGTAAGTGAATTATAATAAAATACCATAAATGCATTTTTGAATATGACTGGATTTATGTTATTCATGCAAGAAGATGAAATATTTGGTTATTTTTTATAAATATTGGATTATGGTATATAATAAGCATTATGAATAACAAAAAAAATATGTCCGAAATTTGCAAAATATTATGGTAATAAAATATATACATAGCAACTTCATTAATCTTGGTTCACACAACCCAAAACGTATAATCCATCTAAAAATGTAAGACGAAACTCACATCCTAGCTTGATTCTTCAATTATATAGTAGAGGTAATAGAATTTTCAAATAAAAATTCAACACTTTTAAAATATATTTATATATGTAAACATTTATGATTTCGGCAATTATCTTTAAAATTGAATAACCAAATGTGTATGTCGATTTTCAGTTAGCGGTTTGTTATGAGTCATGTCACATTTTCGGCTAATTGTTGGAATATATAGAATTATAAACGAATGTGACAAAATATAATATTTTTCTATTTAATTAACGCAGCCAAAAAAATCCATGCATGAAGTACCTATAAGATTTGTAGACTAAATATGTATATACCTTATTTGCTAATATAAGATAAATATCCAAACAAAACTAGAGAGTTAACTATTAGTATTCATTTTTTGGGTTTTTGTGCATAAGTTCCTGAACAATCATCTTTATTATTCTAGGTTTAGAGGCTAGGGTTGTGCATGAATCGGTTTTAACCACCAACCAACCCATTTTCGACCCATAATTTTTGACGGATAATCAACCATCAACCGACCCATTTAAGTTGGGTCAATAATCTCAACCAACCCATGTATAGTTGGGTCGATAATAGTTTCTAATATGCTATAAAGTTGGTTAGTCGGATAATATCGGCCAACTTTGAATGTAACCCCAATTTAATCATTTTTTACCACAAAAATTCAATTTTGACTTTTTTTTCTGAAATTATTTTGCCGCCGGTTTCCGGCGTTGAGTTTTCAATATTTTTTTTCTGGTCTGTTTTTTCCGCCGCCGGTCTCCGACGATGACTTTTTCAAAATATTTTTTCAAGTCTGTTTTTGCCACCTCCGGTTTCCGGCATTGACCGCCGCTCTCCGAGTTGACTGTTTTTAGTGATTCTTTTTTTCTCCTAATTTTTTTTTTCGTTTTTGTACGCCGGTTGCTAAACGTTGACCGTAGTTGTATTCTCATTAACTGTAATTATACTGTCACTGACAGTATATTAACATAATTATACTGTCATTGACAGTACATCAATATAATAATTGTAATGTCGTACATTTATGTAATTGTACTATCGTTGACAGTACAATTAGAGTCAACGACAATATTATTATTTTCTCGGGTTCTTTTTTTTTTATTTTAATTTTGCTTGATTTGTTGACAAGTCAACGTAATTATATTACTGTAGTTGACAGTAAAATAACTGTAAACACAATAATATTACTGTCAACCACATCAATATTATTAATTTTTTTAGTTTTTTGGTTTGTTTGAGTTGTTGAAGGAGTAACGTAATAATATTACTGTCTATTATTGTAATATTACTGTAAACACAATAATATTACTGTGATTGACTGTAATATTACAGTCAACCACATCAATATTAATTCTTTTGGCTTTTTATTATGTTTACCTTTGTTGAAATGTCAACATATTAATATTATTCTATAATAAAATAATAATGACTTTTATTTTAATAATATCACTGGGGTTAATTACATATATTGTGTAATAGAGGAGTTATTTTACATGAATGGTGTATTTTTTACATAGTTTACAAGAATGGTGTAAATCACATTTACCACATGCAATTTTTAACCAAATTCTGACATTTAAAAGTCATCTGCAACAGGAATCGTTTATGACAGTTACGAAGACATCAGAAATTGCCACTAGTAAATGTGATTTACTCCAATTTGGTAAACACGAAAAAAGTACACCATTTGTGTAAATTAAATTGGCTTCTACGCCATATATGTAATTGACCCGATATTACTGTGCTTGAGATTAATATAGCAATATTATTGTATTAAACTGTAGTATAGTTAATATTATTGTGTTTAATAGTAATACAGTTAATTTACTCTCAACCACATCAATATTGTTGTTTAAACGGGGGCAAAAGGATGTTAAAGAAAAAAAAAAGTTGACACCGAAACCTGGCGGCGAAAAAATTAGGAAGAAAAAAAATATATAAGTCAACACCGGAGACCGGCGGTCAACGGCGGTGGCGGGCGAAATTGTCCATAAAATTATGTTTTGGTTCAAAATTGAATAATTTGTGAAATTTGAGGTCAAATTGAGGTTAGATTAAATTAAATGATGAAAGTGGAGCATATTAAAATGAGAGGGGTTAATTTAGTGTTTTACAATCATCTGGACAATGAGTGGACTTCTTTTGTAAAAGAGTTTTTTGTCTGGACCCCTTTATGAATAAGTACCAATTGATGGACTTATTTATAAAGTGCCCTTCATTTTTTATGCGCTAACAATAAATGAGAAGAAATGTAATATCATACACACTAATTTAACTCCAATTTCATGATTTACACCCCAATTTAGCCTAGTTTCACCAATTAACCAATTTTGACCCGTATTCCAATTTTGACCTGCCACCACCGGTCAGCCGCCGTTGACCGTCGGTCTCAACCGTTAACTTTTTTTTTTGAAAACTTTTTTTTTCGGAAATTTTTTTCTGCCAGGTCAACCGCTAGTTTCCAGCGTTGATTTTTTGTTTGGAAACTTTTTTTATTCTTCTGAAATTCTTTTTCCGGCAGGTCAAATTCCGTTGACCGCCAGTCTCCGGCGTTGACTTTTTTTATTTTGTTTTGAAAAAAAAAATTCTTAAAAAAAATATTTTAATTTACTATGCTGCTAAATACTGTCTCCAACAGTAATTTAACTGTCGGAGTTAGTAATTGAACTGTCTGAGACATTAATTTTACGGTATTAACTAACTTTATCGTCTTGGCCTACAATTTTGCTGTCTTCGATCGTAATAATATTGTCTCTGACCTTAATATTATTGTTTCTTGCAATAATGTTACTGTTTGGGACAGTAATATTAGTAATATTACAGTTCGAGAAAGTAATATTCATAATATTACTGTCTGAAACAATAATATTAGTCATATTACTGTTTTGATATTCAATATTACTATTTCAGACAATACTTTTGTTGTTAACACAATAATAGAAAGAAAAAAGTCAACAACGTTTGACCGATCGGAAAAATATTTCAAAAAAAAATTTTTCGAAAAAAAAAGTCAACGCCGTAATCTAGCCGGAAAAAAAATTCTGAAAAAAATATTATTTTGTCAAAAAAATATTAAAATGAGGTTTAATGTGATATCTTTGTTCAAATCCGAGGTCAATGTATATTATTGAGGAAGTTAGAGTATAATAGATGGAATTGATAAAAATTATAATGTAGATGGTATTTTAGACAAAAGACATTGGTATGAGTTTATTTGCAAGACTATTTTTGTCTGGACCTATGTCATTTAAGTCCATTGTCATGGGTCTCTTTGCCATTCGCTATAATTTTATAGAACTCCTCACTGAAAATAACTTTTCTTTAGAGACCTCCAGTCTCTAACTGGGTCATTAAAAGGAAACTTAAAGACTCGTTTTGCTTACTCTATTGGAGATGCCTTAATGAAACTTAAGGACTCGTTTTGCTTACTCTATTGGAGATGCCTTTATAAACTTTAAAAATAGAAATTATAAAGAAATTTCTAGAAAAAAAAAATTAAAAAAATTAAAAGAATACAGCTAAGATTTTCGGATGGGAGTAAAATTTTGGAAATTTAAAGAGAAACTATAAAGAATTTCGAACATAAGTTATTTTCAAAATTTTGGGCTGGGAAATTAAATTACGGAAAAAGTTGAGAATAAACTTGGTATACATTTAGTACAATAGTAAGAATGATGTATACCTTTTGTAGACCATCAGATGGGTACATTTAGACATGGCCACGGGGCGGGGCGGGTTCGGGTCCGGGTTGGACCCGTCGGGTCCGGGTCCGACTTTTAGGGGACCCAAAACCGACCCGCGGGGAGGCGGGTCCGGGGCGGGTCCATCCGAGTCTGGGCCGGGTCCGGGTCCACCTGGTTTTTCAATTTGTTTTTTTTTTTCTTCTTATTTTTACAAGAAAGAAATAAAAAACTTATATTGAAACATGAAAAAACAAGAGATTAACTTTAAATTCACAATTAAAAAAATAATTGAATTTAAACACTAAACAGTTTTAGAAAAAAAATGAAACGATTAGGACTTTGAGACATAATCTAAATAAAATGAAAGTTGTGAAGATTGAATTATGGGTATTTATAAGTGAAAGTAATAATTGAGAAACTTTTCAAATTTTCAAAATTCAAAAAATATCAAAATTCAATCTTTCTTTTAAATTAAATTGTATTTTTTTATATTTTTTAAAATTAAATATATATATATGCATTTGTTATTAGTCGAGATTTTTGATATTAATAATAGTCAACATGACAATTAATGATTTATAAAACATTAGTTATACAATTATTATAATCATTTTACAGTGTTATTTATATTTATATATTTATAGTTAGGATTATTTTAACAAGGAATATAAATAACATAAACAAAAGGTGTAAAATTATTATAATAAATAATGTTAAATAGATTATTAATTATCATATTCATTATCATTAAATAATTTTAATTAAATTATTAACAAATATAATATAATAAAAAAATAAAAGAAATTAAAAAGACTTGAGATTAATTCATTTAAATCTTACGATTCGATTCTAATATTTGAATAAAATGTAAATGTAAAAAAATGATTAAATCATATGACCTACGATTTAATTCTTAGGATTTTTACAAATTAAACCAATTATATAAAGAGAAATCACATCATAATATTTTGATTATACTCGTCATATATAGTTTTATTTTTAAAGTAAAAAAATAATTAGAATGAGATATCATCTGTTTTTGTTAAAATAAACACTATCTATATTTTTAAATAATTATCTTATGATTAAATAATCAATAATTTTAATAAGTTATTGTCAACAATTGAGGTTAATCAATTTAAATTAATTGAAATGAGTTATAATCTATTTTTTTAAATAAACATCTTATTTTATTTTTCATTCGAATTTTTCATACTATCCATTTTAATAACATAAGTGAGTTTGTATTAAGTTTACGCGTTTGCTTATATATTGAATTGATTCAATACTTTATATTTATCAATAGTGGAGATTATATTGATATAGTTATTAATAGTAGATGTTTTAAAGTATTGAACCGTGATTCTATATATATTTTTAAAAGTTTCTTATATTGCATTCGTTAATAATTTAATTAAAATTATTTAATAATAATTAATATGAAAATTAATAATTTCTTTAGCATATTTATGATTTTACACTAGCGTTTTATATTATATATATTTATTGTCTATATTTAATGAAATATGTTCGTTGCCCCAGTGGTTAGAGTTACCGAATTCTGCCCATTTACCCGAGTTCAAATGCCCCAATGCTCAATTTTTGGATAAAAAAATACCCAAAATCCGGGTTGACCCAACGGGTTCTCGGGTCCAAAATATCTGGACCCGAAACCGACCCATGCTTGGGCGGATCCGTGGTCAACGGGGCGGGGCGGTCAACCGGCCGGGTCCGGGTCAAACCCGGCCCGTGGTCGTGTCTAGGGTATATCCGTCAGAAATCATCCAACAGTTAGTGCCACGGTCGGTCAAATATGGAAAGTGACAGATTTTCTAACATGGGGTAACATGAAGGCCGATTTTTTCGCATTTCGAAGTACCGAGGTTATGCGACATTGATGATAGTATAGGAGAGCAAGTTGCATTTAGCCCTAAATATTATCTAAAATAAAAGAAATTCATAAATTTTGGGTGAAAATTTTAGGCTAGGAACAAAATTGCAAAATGTCATAAATTTAAAAGGAAAATATAAATAATTTTTTGAGTATAATTTTTTCCTTCAGAAAATTTGGATGAAATTATTAGGTTGTGGAAAATAAAATTATGGAAGAACCATGAAGACAAAAGATGAGAGTAAACTAAGTGAAACAGAAAAAGAAAGAAAGAGGCACACCTTTTATATACAATAAGTGGGGTATTTTCGTCCGAAATTGTTCAGCATTTAGTGTAATATTCGGTCAAATTTGAAAAGAGACGGATTCTTTAACATCGCTTGACGGCAGGAGTCACTTTGTCGCATTTTGTAATACAAAGACGTATATGCGACACTGGTAGTAATACATAGGTGCAATTTGTATTTAATCCAAAAAATAACTGTTAACGACATTACTAAGAGCAACTCCAATGCAAAACATCAAAATTGAAATATCAAATATTCATTTGATAATTAAGATAATATTTTAATATTCATTTACAATTCATCTACTCCAACCATGGTTATTAAAATTAATAATCAATTAGAAGTTTTTTAGTAGTTTTATTTGTAATTGTCACGTGTCATTTTGTGATTGGATGTTTAGGTGATTATTTTTTTGATAACTCAATTTTCAGAATGTAATTTTACTTATAAAGAGGTAGATATTAAAATACTTACCCATTTTGATACTCACATTGGAGTAGAAATTTTTAATTTTGGGATATCAAAAAGGTAGTTTGTGAGTTTGATAATCCATTTGATACTCCCTTTGGAGTTGCTCTAAGGGTGCAATTTGTATTTAACCCGAAAAAATAAATATCCAGCATTGCATTAAAACCATGTTCCTCAGTTTGCACCTCAGTGGGATAAAAAAGAGGAAAGACAACCTCAAATTCAATATTTAAATAGAAAACAAAACCAATGAACCAAGTCTGAAACTGTTTTAACTTATCTATATATTGTTACAGGTTTAGAATCAAACTAAAGTTCTAAGTTACAATTTGCGAAAATTGAAAAGTGCATCAAAAGCACCATTTGAACCTACATTTGAAGGGGACTCGTAGTTTCTCGCAGAAAACATCGATTATTTGTTTGTAGCGATGAAACTATTTTCACATGAATAACAAGACTGCTACTATTCAGGTGCCCGTTTTTCTTGTTGTAATTTGATTCTGATATTAAAAAAATATCCGTGGAACGTTATGAAACATATTTGTAATCGGGAATTACGAGTCTATAACATCAATATAACAGGTCAATTAAAGACGCAAAATACGTCCGGATGCTCGAAATTATACACGATATTATTATATCCAGATTGGTTGAGAAATTGTACGAGATTACTGGTTGGGGATTTTATGAACGTTACGTTTTTTTTAGATCAACCAATATAGAAATGATTCAACTATGATTCCAAAGGGGAAGGCATCAATAGCGGTGTCGATAATAACGTTTCTATTCGAATATTTGCCGAATAAATTCATTCAAGTACCCCTTTAAGTTCTTGAATTTTCTCATGAATCAAGTGACGATCTATTTCGACATGCTTTTGTTCGTTCATGAAAGATCGGATTCGAGGCAATGTGTAAAGGCAACTTGATTTATCACAAAGCGACGATGGTTTGTCGATGAAGATTTTCTCCCTACTCTTGCAAACAGTCTTTCAACTCTTTCGATACAATCTATCTCGAAATAGGCGATTCTCCAAGATATATACAATATCCCGTCTCAGATCTTGTTGTCTCGGTTTCAACAATCTAATTTTTTCACTTATTACAAATCTCACCAATATCAATTTGGGCTCGTTTGGTTGCCCATATAAGATTAAATAATCTAATCAAAACCCAATTGTTATATTCCCGAAATGTTCAATAAAAGAACTCTCTAAAAGACATGATAACATAATATTTTCGAGTTGACGCGGGAAGTTATTGGGTATACCAAACATCAAATAAATTCCAATTAATAGAATATTTAATAACATGTATATATTTGACATTGAAATAGAAAATGAATATCAATAACAATAAATTTAAAAAAAAAAAAAAAAAAAAAAAAGTAAAATTGGAGTCTACAACAAATTAGACCACAATCAACATTGATTAAGCCATAATCATCTTATAGGCAGCCATGGCTGCAAGTATCCACACACAAGATCTCAAGGCAGAGACTTCAGCCTCAGCGGCCGAAGTACCCGGAGATGGGGCGGGAGAAGGCCCCTCAGCCGTCGATACGGTGATGACGAGCTTCATCCCCTTGAAGCAATGTTCACCAATGGTACAAATATACCACCTCTTGCCAGGTGTCGCAAGAGGAATCACGTCATTTCCGGTAGTACGTGGGACCGCCGTTGCATTTGAAGAAGCGCATTTCATTACATTATATATATATATATATATATATATATATATATATATATATATATATATATATATATATATATATATATTATTATTATTATTATTATTATAATAATAATGGTAAATTACAATCACCCCTGAGGTATGGTCAAAATACGAAAATCTCCTTCATGTTTGGGTAATTACAACCACCCCTCAATTGTAAGTCATCTTACATGTCCACCCTTGCGGTTTCAAATTTAGTGGAATCTTTTAGACTAATGGATATTCTCAAGTTTTTACCCGTTTTATCCCATTCGAGCTCCACATTTTGAAGCAAGACCATTCGAGCTCCACATTTTGAAGCAAGATGATCATAAGATGCGTTTTTTTGCTTATATATATCAAATTGTAGTGCATTAGAAACTATATTTTTGCACAAAACGAGTACAAAGTAGAACACATTCCACGATACCAATTTAACTAAAACATGAAGAATAACTATTTTTTCATAATTTGACCACACCTCAAGGGGTTGGTTATAATTTAACCTAATAATAATAATAATAATAATAATAATAATAATAATAATAATAATAATAATAATAATAATATTAATAATAATATTATTAATAATAATAATATTAATAATAATAATAATAATAATAATAATAATAATAATAATAATAATAATAATAATAATAATAATAATAATAATAATAATAATAATAATAATATTAATAATAATAATAATAATAATAATAATAATAATAATAATAATAATAATAATAATAATAATAATAATAATAATAATAATAATAATAATAATAATAATAATAATAATAATAATATACACATATATATTGCTTTAATAGAACATACCTTAACAAATGAGTTAAAACTTTAATTTGTACTAAGTTGGAGTTATTTTGTTGGACCCAAACCTTATTTAAAAGTCTTTGGGCTTTCGTTGTAGTGGTCTTCTAAATTTGGCTCGTGACCCAGTAGATAAATAAATAGTACGCCCATTGGGTCGGCCCAATTAAACATTTATTTTGACCTTACAACTTTACAATATTTGAATATCTTATTGCCATAACAATTCAACAATTCACTTTTACTGTCGTAATTAAGTTGTGTCTATCCCGACCTAATGAATTTTTGGATTATTTCTAGACGTTTGAGCGACGAGTAATTAATAGCATCCGAATCGATATTAATTCCATTTATTTAGTATAAATAAATAATTGGAAGTGTAGAAAATCATATACATGTAATATTGCCTCAAAGAATTTTCACTAAATTTCTGCAAGTTTTTTTGACTTAATTTTGTCAATTTTGCTTCATACACGTATCTCTTAGGTTTTAGAAACAAAAATTATTGTTTTTTGCCGATTTTGCCTCTACTTTTTCACAACACTAATTTTACAATTGTGCACTCATTTTAAAGATCTCTCACTTATCTATATATTGAATGCAATTGTGCCTCTGACACTTCACTACTCATCACACACACAAGAGTAAGAGGCATAAAAAAAATATTTTGTTACATTTGTCTGAACAAAAGAAAGAAAGTGAAAAGAAAACACAGCTTGAATTAAAAGTAAAACTTGAAGAAATGGAGAGAGGAGAAAGCTCAAACGTAGAACATAAATACACCAGAAGAGCACGCACATCTGGTAAAAATTTCACTCGTTTTTTTCTAATATTTTGTTTTTAAGACTAAATCTATATGAACAATGTGCATATATCTGTATTTTTTTTATGTTAACATTTCTTATTTGTTGCAATAAAAAATACGTTTTAATTCGTTGGATTTGTTTTTTGGATAATCGATCTTTTATTAGCAAATTTGGTGCGATTTAAGTTCGCAAATCCTTTTAATGCTTCAGGGATCTCCTTGCGAATTGGATAGAAAAACAATTTTTTTTTTGTTTTCGTGTATCATTCCATTTTGATTTTTTTTTTATGTTTGACGAGTAAAGTTTTTTAATTTTTATGGTACTCTTTAAGAAAAATCATGAATCGGTCTTCTATTAGGAAATTTGGTGCGATTTAAGTTCATAATGTTTTTTATGCTTCATGGATCTCCTTGCGTGAATTGCATAAAGAAAATGATATTTTTCTTGTCGCTTTCGTGTACCACATTCTATTCGGATTCTTTTATATTTTACAATCTTTGAATTTTTATGATATTTTGATTTTTTTTGTCTAGCATAGAACAAGCATTAATAAAAAAAATTAATTCTGTTCATGTAGTAATTGGATTTCAATTTTCTTCGTTTCATCTTAATTTTTTATTTTTTTTTAAATAACCCAATGCATTGTAATTAGTACTTTAACATATTCAATCAATGTTTTTCACAATAAAGAGTAATTCTTTATTTCATCACAAAACAAATGTGATGCTATACAGATCAAATCAGAAAGGGTTCTAATTAATGTGGATAAATTGATTGAAGAGGAAATTAATTTAATATAATCTTAATTTTTAAGTCAACTCCGTGAATATTTATTTTATATATGTATTATATAATTGTATTTCATTTATAGATAAACATTGTATGTATATTAGTGATATCACCAATATATTCATATATACAATTGATTTAAATAAAATAAAACACGAGTTGATATATAAAATATAATGGAATATCACAGTGTGTGAGAGATTAGTGCAGTAAAAATGAGTTTTTTGTACTTAATTTTTACATACTTTGTTCGTTGTTAGCTATTGGACAAAAATCCAACCACTTCATAATTTCTTCACATCAATATGCTCTGCTTTTTGTGCACGGTGACAATAATAAAAGATGGTTATATATAAAACATGAACAACAATTAACAGAAAATTGGCTACTCAATTTTACACATGTTTTCTTGAACAAGATCGAATTTATAAATTTATTTCGCTTTATATTTTTGAAAAATATTATTTTTTCTATATTGAATTGCATTTGTCGATCCTATATAGCTTGCCTCTATATTATGTGATTATTATATTGCCATCGGTATATTTTATTTACAAATTTAAATATATCATTTCAGGCATTGTCATTAGGGAAGGGGGCGCCGTTACTGCCCCAACCAATGCCACGCCCGGAGAAGTGAACCAAGAGCAACAACAAGGCGTCAAAAGAGAGGCGGACCAATACATGCCGACAACAAATATAACTCACATCATGCGGTGCGTCCTCCCCGCCCACGTTAAAATCGCTGACGATGCAAAGGAGGCCATCCAGGTGTGCGTCTCCGAGTTCATCAACTTCATTACTGTCGAGGCGAACAACATATGCCACTGCGACTACCGAAGAACAGTCACGCCGGAGGACGTGTTGGCGGCAATGGCGTCGTTGGGTTTCGGCGACTACATAGAGCCCCTCATCGTTTTCCTCAACAAGCATCGAGCCCATCAAGACCTCGATAAATGCACTACAAAATTATAGACAAATTAAATACTCTTTTCTTTAGTACCTTTTTTATTTAGTTTACTTATTATTATTTTTATGGATTGTTAGAGATTTTTCTTTGCATTTAAGAATTTCATAGATTGTTTTAAATTGCTATTTTCTAATATTCAATGATTTCATTATAATATGTTTCTTTACAAAAACATGAGTATACAATATAGTTAATATCGTGATACGATAATTTTTTTATAGAAACGATATAACTCAACAATCAGCATAGGTATTGCAACACAATAGGAAATTTATAATATTCTTTTAGGGGGGTATTTGTACGATTTCATCGTATTTTGGGATGATTTTGTCCGATTTTCATCATATATGTGGTGATTTGTGCGATTTTATCACATTTTGGGTGATTTATGAGATTTTCATTATATATAAAGATATATAATGAGAAAAATACAGTTTTCACTTCTCAAGTTTGCACCGATTCCACATTTAGTCCCCATATTCATAAAAAACACATTTTGTCCCTTATGTTTCAAAAATTCAACATTTTTAGTCCTTTCCGCCAATCTCCCGTCAAAACTAACGGAATCAAGCGTGTTCTCATCACTGCCTTAACCAACGGACTAAAGGTAAATTGGCAGAAATGACCAAAAGTGTTAATTTATTGGAACATGAGGGACCAAATGTGTTATTTGTGAACATAGAGGACCAAATATGAAATCGGTGCAAACTTGAAGTGTGAAAACTGTAATTTCTCCAATTTACTATTAATCGATAAATAATTTTAATAATATTCTATTCCAAATAATTATCAATGTCACAAAATATTACTCTAATAACAATATAACTATAAATTAAAATAGAGAAAAAAAATTTAATACGACGTGTACAACGCACGCACCTTGCTAGTATTTGAAAATTTATGAAAGTTTTTGAAACTTTTTAAAAATATTAAAACTCTCGGCACCAATTTTAGAAGTTCATTTCAAATTTTCAAAAGTTCAATATCATCGTTCAAAAGTCTATTATCATATTTTTGTTCAAAAGTTTATTCAAAATTTTTAGTCGCACTAGTTCATTACTGCTAATTATTAGACAAGTTCATGTTTCACAATCCACTTTATTATTTGCATTTAAGAGATTCCCCTAACTTTTCATAACCCCATTTTACTCTTACAATATTCAAATTCTGCACTTTTCTTACCTACTATCTATATATGGTTTTATTTTCAACCTTCTTTTTCATTAATTTATTTTTTTAATAAATTCATTTTCTTAATAAATTTATCTTTTTTTTCCTAGCAGATTTACCACATGTAAACAATTACAAGTTACAATAATCATATATAATTACTAAATTGTAAAATTTCAGCAATCAACTACAAAATATTATAGCACGACTACAATTTATAACAAAAACAACTATAAAAACACATAAATCCAACTATTCATTATCGAAATCAACTGCAATTTTAATTTAAACTATAATTTATAGTAATCCACTATAATTTATCGAAACCAACTACAAAATCATTGAAGCATGTACAGTATATTGAAATCAACTGCAATTTTATTGAAATCTATTATGAAAACAGTGAATCAACTACAGATCACCGAAACCAACTATTCATTATCGAAATCAACTACAAAAGAATTAATTGTATCTTGTATCGCGCGATTAAATCGTAAGACAAGGTTCGCAACCAATATCGATCCCTAGCCTCGCCGTGTAAAAACCATTGACGCCACCGAAACCCAGATAGCAATCAATACCAATCCCTAGAGTCATCGTTGCTGGAATAGAGGAACGTCTTACCGAGAAACTTCGTGGCTTCAAAGTGGAAGAAGGTCGCCCATGGGAAAGTACATTTGTGGAAGAAGTTCTGGTGGTTTCCATCACCGGAGATTTCATCACAGTCGCGCAAGTTCTAGCCGCCGCCCTAACACATCAAATGATTAGTTTTGTGATTTTCGCCGCCGACTTGAGATTGCACAGCGGGCGGGGAGAGAGAGAGAGAGAGAGAGAGAGAGAGAGAGAGAGAGAGAGAGAGAGAGAGAGAGAGAATTTGTGGAGTTGGAAGATGTAGAGTTTGGTATAAAATATGAGGGGTGTTGCTAAGATAAAAACAGAATGGACTCAAGAAATGTAAATGTGTTTTGAAGTCTTGAGATATATCATTATATTGGCTAATAATATTTCTTTTTTAGTGTGAACACCAAATTCAAAATTTCTAGGATTTCAAAAATATTTATCCAATCATTCTAATTCATCCCTAATTTTATCAAAGGGGCGATCTGAGTCAACCATCTCAACCCTAAGGGTGCTGTACAAGAACAGAAGTTCATGCTCTTATATAGTTACTTATTTTTTATTATCTAAAAAATACAGATAAACTATAAAAAGTAAAAATAAATAAATAAACAAATCTTCTAATATCAATTATTTTTGGGTAAATTACAAAACCCCCCTGAGGTATGGTCAAATTACAAAAACCCCTCTCTTGTTTGGATAATTACATCTACCCCCTCAACTATGATTTTTTCTTACATCTCCATCCTTATTGTGCCAAATTAAATATAATCATCTAGATTCCGTGGAATGTGCTCTAGTTTGTATTCGTTTTGTGTAAAAATACAGTTTCCGATGCACTACAAACTGATATACACAAGCTAAAAATCACATATTATGATCATCTTACTTCATAATGTAGAGATTGAATGGTATAAAACGGGTACAAAAGTGATAATATTTCGTATAATCTCGAAGATTCCACTAAATTTGAAGAGCTGAGGGGGTGGTTGTAATTATCCAAACAAGAGTGGTGTTTTTGTAATTTGACCATACCTCAGGGGGGTGTTTGTTATTTACCCATTATTTTTTTGGGGAACTACATATTACCCATGGAAGATAACTTATTTGTACTCCTATTAAAACCAAAATCAGTCATACAAAAAGGTTCATGTTTTTGTCTCTTGCCTAAAATGCCCCTCACAATATAATTAACATCAATTTCATCCCTAATATCCCAACTGAACAAATATTGCACATTGACCCCAGTTTTAACAAATATATCACATTAACGATGCAAATTTTAAATATATCACATTAACTATAATTATTGTAAACCTTAACTATGCAAATTTTATGCACAGAATGCAAAAACTATGAAGTTTCCTTAAAAACCACAACTACTTCACAAACTTAAAACATAAAATATACTATATATCTAGTTAATGAAAGACATTCCTTGGTTAAGGAGTCTTTAAGTATTTAGAGTATATCCCTTCCTCACCTTCCACGCGTAATATATACATATACGATAAAAAAAATACAAATAATAGTTATTATTTAGTAATAAATTTGTGGGTTAATGGCAAAGAGATCCATGACAATGACATTTAATGAAATAAGGGATGTTTAATTTTTTTGTCTTTCAAATATTTCCAGTTCATTCAAACTTATTTGCAAATAAGGAAAACCCTTTTATATATACCAAAACAAAAATTACCCACAGTTCCTTGAAACTCTATTCAACTCCAATTCATGATTTATACTCCAAGTTAGCCCAATTTCACAAATTAACCAATTTTAACCATAATTTCAATTTTGACCCGCCACCACCGGAGACCGCCGGTCTCCGGCGTTGATTTTTTTTCTTAAAAAAATATTTTAATTAAAATTACTGTCTTGGCTGCTAAATTATTATCTCCAACAGTAATTTAACTATATGAGACAATATTTTTACTGTATTAATTAATTTTAACGTCTTGGCCTGCAATAATACTGTCTCCGACCGTAATATTACTGTCTCATGCAATAATATTACTGTTTGAGACAGTAATATTTGTAATAATACTGTTCCAGAAAATAATATTCGTAATATTACTGTCTGAGACAGTAATTTAGCAGCCAAGACAGTGATATTAATTAAAATATTTTTTTCCAAGGAAAAACAAAGAAGTGAACGCCGGAGACCGGCGGTCAACGGCGGTTGACCGGCCGGAAAAAGTTTCAGAAAAAAAAATAAAAAATAAGTCAACGCCGGAATCTGACGGAAAAAAAATTATTTTCTGAAAAAAAAAAAAATTTTCAAAAAAACATTAAAGGGGGTTAGAGTGATATATTTGTTTAAATCCGGTGTCAATGTGTAACATTGAGGAAGTTAGAGTATAATTGATGAAATTGATAAAAAATATATTATGGAAGGTATTTTAGACTAAAGACATGGGCATGAGTTTATTTGAAAGACTGTTTTTTTTTTCTGTGGACCAATGTGCATTTAAGTGTCTTGTCATGTTCCTCTTTGCCACTTGCCCTAAAATTGTATATGTCAGTTTTCTAGTTTAATTAATTAAGGGGTTATTTTACATACCCTAGCCACCAAATAAACTAGGGATAAACCCAAGCCCAAATCATCCTTTGACATACCCCCTGGAGAAGGGAAAGTACTATACTACCCTTATATGTTATTTTCGGCCAAACTGCATTCAGCATTTTTGGTACTGTATTTATCATTTTCGCCGATTTATTTATTATTTTTTTTTTTTTATGAATAATAATAAACCTGTTTGTTAAATTTATATATATATATATATATATATTTTTTTTTTTTT